CTAAAAAAAAAACCCCACATTAAATAATGCCATGAACAGTTTAAGGCAAAGATAATGAATAAATAAAACTACGCCATACAATTATTCATTCATAGACAGGAATAGCATGGATTTCAGTCACAATTTTCTCACCTTCAAATCTCTATGAACAATGGGAGTTTTGCATTGGTGCAGCCTAGCAACAGCTTCACAGGCATCACAAAAAATTCTTAGCACTTCTGATTCAGTAAAGCCCGTTTGTAATCTCTGGTTCATCTGATTCACTATTTGCCCCGCTACAAAGAAGGAATAAAAAAAAATGTTATATAGCAGATTGGATTCAATTCGGCAAGATTGGAAACATTAAATATTCAAAACCCTGAAACACTTAACACAATGTTGCTCTTCAAAGTAAGAGTTTAGATTTCATCTATTATTTATTAGAGATAAATACTAAGGATATAGTTAACATAAGCATTTCACAATAACAAATTGAATCAAAACATTTTTTTTATTTAATCTGGCAATTTACAGTCAAATTAGCCTGATGAAAAATATGTCCCAATATATAAATAAACTGCAGTCCAAGCACAAATGACAAAATTAATTGCACCACGTTGAAGAAAGGATCTTCTGCAGATAAACCTAAAACACTGATTCTATATGAAACGTGCTCTGAATATTTCATATTGCCCTAACATACGAGTGATCACTGTCATTTTTGTACCATTTTGCTTTCTAACAAGAAGCAATGAAATGGAGGAACATTAGCAAGTCAGGTTGGCTATGGATAATCTATTTCACCTTGCAGTAACTATCTCCAAAGCTGCTGTATTTTTCTCCAAAACACTGCATGCTAGCCAACTATTTTTGTTATTAAGATGACAAAAAATGTACTTACCACGACAATATTCCATTAAGATAAGCACTTCCCACACATTATCACTAACAGTATTAACAGCACAATCCAAATACCCTACAATGTTCTTGTGCCCAGACAATTCTTTCTGTAAAAAAAGAAACATTCTTAAGTATAAAGGGGGGGGGGAGAATATGCTAACTTTTAAGGCCAAAACAAAAGTAATTCTATCACAAACTATCATTCAATGCAAACTATTAATCATCAGTTAATTATTTTATGATGTATTAGACATTTTATTAAGTATTTTTTTCCTGTTATCATCTTGAATACAGAATCTTACCAATGTGATATATGAAATTGTTTCATCTCTTCTAAATAAACTTATGAAGCTGTCTTTGTGTTATCTATTACTGGCTTAGAATCATTAAATTATTTAAAGCAGGGGTGTCAAACTGGTTTGGTTGGTCTGGATTTCTTCAAGGGCCAAATCGGCATTGTTCTCCACAGACCGGCCGGAGTGGGGGGCAGACGGGA